CAGGTGAATTGGGTAGGCTAAATTGTCCATAGTGTATGAGTGTGTGTGTGTGTGTGTGTGTGAATGTTTCCCAGAGATGGGTTGCGGCTGGAAGGGCATCCGCTGCGTAAAAACTTGCTGGATAAATTGGCGGTTCATTCCGCTGTGGCGACCCCAGATTAATAGAGGGACTAAGCCGACAAGAAAAAAAGGGATCGAACGTGTCAGCGTGAGTTGGCATGCGTTCTACGAGCTACGCTGATCACGCTGTTAAAGATACTACCATATTATACACCTTTTACCTTTTAACTCTCATTCATAACGCTCTCATTCATAACTCTTCACTTTTTCACTTTTTTTTATGTTACTGGAAAACGGATTAAATTCTTTTATTTCCTCAGAATTTTACAAACAATACACCATAATGTGAAAAATCTTATTTAAAAAAAACCCTGAAACATCACATGTACATAAGTACTCACAGCCTTTGCGCAGTACTGTGTTGATGCTTCTTTAGCAGCAATTACAACTTCAAGTCTTATTAAATATGTTGCTACAACTTTGGCACACCTGTCTTTGGGATTTTTTGTCCATTCCTCTTTGCAGGACCACTCATGCTCTATCAGGTTGAATTTTCAGATCTCTCTAGAGACGTTCAATAGGATTAAGGTCTGGGATCTGGTTGGGCCACTCAAGGACATTCACCGAGTTATTGTGTAGCCACTCAATTGATATTTTGGTGGTGTGCTTTGGATCATTGTCCTGCTGGAAAGTGAACCGTCGCCCAAGTCAAGAGCACTCTAAAGCAGGTTTTCATTCAGGATGTCTCTGTACATTGCTGCATTCATCTTTCCCTCTATCCTGGCTAGTTTTCCAGTTCCTGCTGCTGAAAAACATCCCCATAGCATAATTCTGCCACTAGGGATGGTATGAGCCTGGTGATGAGTGGTGACTGGTTTTCTCCAAATGTTGATCACCTCCCTGACTGAGGCCCTTCCCCGATCAGTCAGCTTAGATGGCCGGCCAGCTCTAGGAAGAGTCCTGGTGGTATTAAACATCTTCCACTTATGATTGATGGAGGCCACTGTGTTCATCGGAACTTTCAGAGTTTTCCTGTAACCTTTCGCAGCCTTGTGCCTTGAGACAATCCTGTCTCGGAGGTCTACAGACAGTTCCTTTGTCTTCATGCTTGGTTTGTGCTTTGACATACCTGGGACTTTTTGACCCTAGGAGCTTATTTAGACAGGTGTATGCCTTTTCAATTAATGTCCAATCAACTGAATTGACCACAGGTGAACTTCAATTAAGCTGCTAATACATCTCAAGAATGGTCAGTGGAAACAGAATGTACCTGAGCTCAATTTAGAGCTTCACGGCAAAGGCTGTGAATACTGATGTACTTGAGTTTTCAGGTTTTTATTTGTAATAAATTTGCTACAATTTCAAGAAATCTTTTTTTCGCAGTGTCATTATGGGGTATTGTGTGTAGAATGTTGAGGAAATAAATGAATTTAATCCATTTTGAAATAAGGCTGTAACATAAAGAAATGTGGAAAAAGTAAAGCGCTATGAATATTTTTCGGATGCACTGTACATATCCAGGCCAAACAAATGTAATTCACCAAAATGTTTGACACATGCTCGTAGCCTATTGTACTGTCACAAGGTAAAAAAAATAGTGACATTTTGAAATGACAGAAAAGTATGAAAAGAAAATGAAAGATTGAATGAATGGATAAATAATATAAATTTGGCTCAGAAATAAAAAATAAAAAAAATCTCAGCAGTTGGTTTTGTCCATATTTTATCCAAATTTGAGTTGAAATAACCCAGTGTTCATTAATTAATTAATTTATTTTCTTTTTAGCTTAGTCCCTTTATTAGTATGGGGTCGCCACAGCAGAATGAACCGCTAACTTATCCAGCACATGTTTAACGAAGCGGAAGCTCTTCCATCTGCAACCCCTCACTGGAAAACACCCATACTCACTTTATCACACACACACACTACAGCCAATTTAGCTTACCTAATTCACTTGTAGTGCATGACCTTGGACAGTGGGGGAAACCGGAGCACCGGGAGGAAACCCACGCCAACACAGGGGGAACATGACAATCTCACATACAAACCCACACACAGAAATGCCGACTGGCCCAACAAAGGCTTGAATCAGCAACCTTCTTGCTGTGAGGCGATTTTGCTACCCACTGCATTGCACCATATCATATTAAAATGTATCATATAAAAATATATAAATATAAAAGTCTAAATTTATTTAATATTCAAAATTATTATATAGTGTTTGATATATAAAACGTATACGATAGTATATACGTACAATGTTTTAACACATCTGGTAAGAAATGGATAAACCCAACTGTTTTCAATTTAATTATTAACCCCATATTTTACCAAAGCTTGAGTTGTAATAGCTCAGCATTTTGTTTGAAGTAAAACAAGCAATTGATAATAATAAACAATAACATTTAAATTTAGTATGTTGAATTTACTCAATCTAAAGTATATGAGAAACTGAACAAGCGATTATTAAATATTCAGACAGAAACAACATCACGCATTGAATGAATGCTGGAAATAGCGCTCTGTTGTTGCTAATACAGTACAAATGTTCTTTATTTAGTAGATGTTTATCCAACGTGTCTTTCAAATAAGCTACAGAGACAGAAATATACCTAGCGTACAATGCCAGGTTTATTAGAAAGCTAGATCACATTATTAGATTTGTTAGACGAGCTAAACAACAAAATGAATGCAGAAACAGAATGAATGAATGCAGAAACAGAGTAACGTGACAGTGGGTGCATTCGTTTTCCAGGTTAAGCTCTCCTAGATGTACCTTTTGCTTTTTCATCAGCACGAATGTGAGCATTCGTCTGACCCTCTTTTCTTCTCCTCCATTGTCTGATTTCAAAGCCATTAAGAGGAGATTTCAGCACATTTAGAAAGTCTGCGAGTGCAGCAGTTGGAGTTAATGGCAGTCAAAGATGTTTACATGAGATCTGCTTCCTGCTTTTTACATTAGAGTTTGTCCTTGCTGGGTTTGAGGATTCTGTCTCCGCTCGCTTTATCCACACGCTAATGTCCTGAAACAAGTCCATGTTCTTTCTTTCTTTCACTTCATCCATTTATTTCTTTGTTCATCCATTCATTATCTATCTATCTATCTATCTATCTATCTATCTATCTATCTATCTATCTATCTATCTATCTATCTATCTATCTATCTATCTATCTATCTATCTATCTATCTGTCTATCTGTCTATCTGTCTATTCATTCATCAATCCATCCATTAATAATATCCATCAGCCATCCATCCATCCATCCATCCATCCATCCATCCATCCATCTATCCATCCATCCACCCGTCCATCAAACTTTAAATCCATCCATCCATCCATTTGATAATCTCCATCCATCCATTAATCATTAATCATCCATTCATTTATCCATCCATCAATTCATCCATCCATCCATCCATCCATCCATCCATCCATCCATCGATAATCTTCATTCATCAATCCATCCATTAATAATATCCATCAGCCAGCCATCCATCCATCCATCCATCTATCCATCCATCCATCCATCCATCCATCCATCCATCCATCCATCCATCCATCCATCCATCCATCCATCCATCTATCCATCCATCCACCCGTCCATCAAACTTTAAATCCATCCATCCATCCATCGATAATCTTCATTCATCCATCCATCCATTAATAATATCCATTAGCCATCCATCCATCCATCCATCCATCCATCCATCCATCCATCCATCCATCCATCTATCCATCCATCCACCCGTCCATCAAACTTTAAATCCATCCATCCATCCATTTGATAATCTCCATCCATCCATTAATCATTAATCATCCATTCATTTATCCATCCATCAATCCATCCATCCATCCATCAATAACCTCCACCCATCAATCCGTCCATCCATCGATAATCTCTATCCATCTATTTATCTACCAATAATCTCCATCCATCCATCAATCCATCCCTTCATCTATCCATCAATTCATTGATAATCTTCATACATTCATCCATGGATCCATCCATCAATAATGTCCATCCATCAATCCATCTATCAATCCATCGATAATGTCCATCCATCCATTAATCCATCTCCATCTATCTATCCATTGATAATCTCCATCCATTCATTATTCGATAATCCCCATCCATCTTCCATGCATCCATTGATAATATCCATCCATCAACCCATCCATCAATAATATCCATGCATCCATCCATCCATCGTTAATCTCAATCCATCCATCTATCCATCTTTGAGCTTTTCATTGTTTTCATTCATTCAATCATTTTATTTTTGGCTTTATTACTTCATTAATCTGGAGTGAAACGAACTGCCAACTAATCCACCATATGTTTTACACAGCGTATGCCCTTCCATCTACAACCCATCACTGGGAAACATCCATACAAACTCATCCACAAACATACACTACGGACAGTTTAGCCTACCCAATTCACCTGTACCGCATATCTTTGGACTGTGAGGGGAAACTGGAGCACCCAGAGGAAACCCACGCGAACACGAGGAGAACATGCAAACTCCACACAGAAACGCCAACTGACTCAGCCGAGGCTCGAACCAGTGACCTTCTTGCTATGCGGCGATCATGCTACCCAATGCACCACCGTGACGCTTTTCTAAAATCATTATGCCATTTAATATTTGTACCATATAAATTATTCATTCATTCATTTTCTTGTCGGCTTAGTCCCTTTATTAATCCGGGGTCGCCACAGCGGAATGAACCACCAACTTATCCAGCAAGTTTTTACGCGGCGGATGCCCTTCCAGCCGCAACCCACTTCTGGGAAACATCCACACACACATTCAAACACACACACTCATACACTAAGGACAATTTAGCCTACCCAATTCACCTGTACCGCATGTCTTTGGACTGTGGGGGAAACCGGAGCACCCGGAGGACGCGAAGGCAGGGAGAACATGCAAACTCCACACAGAAACGCTAACTGAGCTGAGGTTCGAACCAGCGACCTTCATGCTGTGAGGCTACAGCACTACTGCGTCACTGCCTCGCCTCCATATAAATCAGCAAACTGCAAACATTTACAGTTTGCATTTTGCAGTTTATTTGCAAACTTACTGCACAATACATCAAAAACCGGTGATGAATTCAAACATCATGCAATTTGATTTAGCAGGGTGCATATAAATTATAGGTTTCAAAGACAAATCAAAAGCACATGTTCTTCTACTTGACCCATTTGTTTCCTAACGCTTCACGAACTTCCTCAATGTCAATGACAAACTCATAATGTTGTTTACAGTTGAAGATAAGATCATCGCACACCCATTCACTGTACTATACATGCAAAATGATCTTCCCCAAAATACGAAATCCAAAGCCTCATATTTCAACTACAATCATGGAAAAGCGACGTTAATTTTTTCTGGCGACACCACTTTCCTCTTGTCTGAAATCTCTCCCTCTTTTTCTCTTCACACATCTGGAAGCTGCAACGGATGACCGTGTCTCTCCAGCGCTGCTGATTTTATGATGTGTTTGGACTCTTTTAGGAAGCTTCGACACGCTGGACGTTTGCTATAACTCTGTTTGGAGTCTCCTAACACAAAAAAAAAACTAAGGTAAGACTTTATTCCTTATTGAGTTTGAGCAGTGATCCAATTCCAGCTGTTTTGTTTGAGGTTATATTGTATCTGCTGTCATGTGTTTTGCATATTACTGTATCTTTTATAGGATCTGAGTCTTTTCAGTAACATCAGGGTTTTGAATATGAAAAGCATGAGGGTTAAGGTAACTTTGATATGATATGATAATTAGTGCTATTATTATTAGTAGTAATAGTTAGTAGTAGTACAGTTAAGAGATTTTGTCTTTTTTCTAATCCAAATATCTAAAATTCTTCAATCAAGAAGCATTTTCTGCACAAGCAAAAAAAAAAAAAAAAAGTTTTTACAAGAATTTTAGCTCATTAAACTCTTGATTTGCCATATATTACAGTTAGTAAGGTAGTAGTTGAGTTTACTCTGCAAAAATGTCTTGTTTTTAGTCCAAATATCTAACAATTCTTAATCAAGAAGCATTTTCTGCACAAGCAAATAAAATATAGTGTTTTTTACAAGAATTTTAACTCATTAAACTCCTAATGTGCTGCTTATTAATAGTTACTAGGGTAGTAGTTGAGTTTACACTGCATAATGTCTTGTCTCTAGTCCATATATCTAAAATTTTTCAATAAAGAAGCATTTTCTGCACAAGCAAATAAAATATAGTGGTTTTTACAAGAATTTTAACTCATTAAACTCCTAATTTGCTACTTAATAATAGTTAGTAAGGTCGTAGTTGACTTTACAGTGCAAAAAATGTCTTGTTTCTGGTCCAGATATCTAAAACTCTTCAATCAAGAAGCATTTTCTGAACAAGCTTAAACAATATAGTCATTTTTACATGAATTTTTCGCTCATTAAACTCCTAATTTGCTGCTTGTTAATAGTTATCACGGTAGTAGCTGAGTTAACTGCAAAACAATTATTGTTTCTGTTCCAAATATCTAAAACATCTTTAATCAAGAAGCATTTTCTGCACAAGCAAAAATAAATAAATAAATATAAAAAAAATAATAATAAAAAAAATTCTAGTCATTTTTACAAGAATTTTAACTCATTAAACTTCTAATGTGCTGCTTATTAATAGTTACTAGGTTAGTAGTTGAGTTTACACTACTAAATGTCTAGTCTCTAGTCCATATATCTAAAATTTTTCAATAAAGAAGCATTTTCTGCACAAGCAATAAAAATATAGTCGTTTATACACAAATTTTAACTCATTAAACTTCCAATTTGGTGCTTATAATTATTATTAAGGTAGTAGTTGAGTTTACACTGCAAAAAATGTCTTGTTTCTAGTCCAAATATCTAACAATTCTTAATCAAGAAGCATTTTCTGCACAAGCAAATAAAATATAGTGGTTTTTACAAGAATTTTAACTCATTAAACTCCTAATTTGCTACTTAATAATAGTTAGTAAGGTCGTAGTTGACTTTACAGTGCAAAAAATGTCTTGTTTCTGGTCCAGATATCTAAAACTCTTCAATCAAGAAGCATTTTCTGAACAAGCTTAAACAATATAGTCATTTTTACATGAATTTTTCGCTCATTAAACTCCTAATTTGCTGCTTGTTAATAGTTATCACGGTAGTAGCTGAGTTAACTGCAAAACAATTATTGTTTCTGTTCCAAATATCTAAAACATCTTTAATCAAGAAGCATTTTCTGCACAAGCAAAAAGAAATAATTAAATAATAAAAAAATAATAATAAAAATTCTAGTCATTTTTACAAGAATTTTAACTCATTAAACTCCTAATGTGCTGCTTATTAATAGTTACTAGGGTAGTAGTTGAGTTTACACTGCAAAATGTCTAGTCTCTTGTCCATATATCTAAAAATTTTTAATAAAGAAGCATTTTCTGCACAAGCAATAAAAATATAGTCGTTTATACACAAATTTTAACTCATTAAACTGCCAATTTGGTGCTTATAATTAGTTATTATAAATTCAAAGTATAAAGCATTTTTTGCAGTGTAAATTCAACTACTTAATAACTATTAATATACAGCGAATTAGTTAGTGCATGGTTTGTTAATTGCAATAATAGCAAGAATGTACCTTAAAATAAAGTGTGACTGAGCTTATATGCATAGTGAGATCCCACTTTTTCAATTTAAAGCAAGCTTCTCATTACAAATTTAGCATGTCTGTGCAGTGCTGCTGATTTTCTGATGTGTTTAGACTGTTTTAGGAAGCTTCGACTCTTGCATGAATTATGCATTGATACTACATCACATCTGTGCTTTTTTCCTCAAAGTTTATTGAGATTTGCAGGGCATGTGAAATGATTCCAGCTGTCTTGTGTGTGTGTGTGTGTGTGTGTGTGTGTGTGTGTGTGTGTGTGTGTGTGTGTGTGTGTGTGTGTGTGTGTGTGTGTATGTGTGTGTTTTGATCTTAAACAGGTGTGTTATCTACTGTCATGTGTTTTGGCTTGTGTCAGTAGTACTGTATGTGTTTTTTGTTTATATTGTACCGTACAGTAGTGTTGTATATGTTGTTTATATAGTACAGTAGGTTTTATAGTACAATGTTAACAATTTCCCGTAGAATCTACAGTAACATCCAAGCAGCAGTTTGCCAGTAACTTATTGTAAATCAGTTACAGCAAAAATACTGTATTCACATTAACAGCACCATTGATTTTGCTCTATGTGAATTTACAGAATTGTGAGTACTTTACATCTTTACTGTAGAATATACAGTAATTTTCACAATGCTACTTTATAATACAGTAACCTACTGCATAAATGGGATAAACCGCCAACTTATCCAGAACATGATGTTTTGGGACGGACAATTTAGCCTACCCAATTCACCTATACCGCATGTCTTTGGACTTTTAGGGGAAACCGGAGCGGAACTATCAGTAATGTAGGGTGCGGGATTGTCAGTCATTTAGCGCAGGACTATCAGTCATTTAGGGCAGGACTAATAGTCATTTAGGGCGGAACTATCAGTAATGTAGGGGCGGGACCATCAATCATTTAGGGCCGTGCCTATCAGTCATTTAGGGTGGGACTATCAGTAATGTAGGGTGAGGGATTATCAGTCATTTAGTGCAGGACTATCAGTCATTTAGGGGCGGTACTATCAGTCATTTAGGGCGGTACTATCAGTAATGTAGGGGCGGGACTATCAATCATTTAGGGCCGTGCCTATCAGTCATTTAGGGTGGGACTATCAGTAATGTAGGGTGAGGGATTATCAGTCATTTAGTGCAGGACTATCAGTCATTTAGGGGCGGTACTATCAGTCATTTAGGGCGGTACTATCAGTAATGTAGGGGCGGGACTATCAATCATTTAGAGCCGTGACTATCAATCATTTAGGGCGGTACTATCAGTAATGTAGGGGCGGGACTATTAGTCATTTAGGGCAGAACTATCAGTAATGTAAGGGCGGGACTATCAGTCATTTAGAGCAGGACTATCAGTCATTTAGGGCGGGACTATCAACCATTTACGGTGGGACTATCAGTCATTTAGAGCAGGACTATCAGTCATTTAGGGCGGGACTAATAATCATTTAGGGGCGTTACTATCAGTCATTTAGAGCAGGACTATCAGTCATTTAGGGGTGGAACTATTAAGCATTTAGGACGGGACTATCAGTCATTTAGGGTGGAACTATTAAGCATTTAGGTAGGGACTATCAGTCATTTAGGGTGGGACTATCAGTCATTCAGGACGGGACTATCAGTCATTTAGGGTGGGACTATCAGTCATTTAGGGCAAAGCTATTAGTCATTTAGAGCAGGACTAATAAAGGGTGGGACTATCATTTATTTAGGCTGAGCAATCAATAAATCGGAGGTGAGACTATCAATCATTTAGCCATTTAGCGCAGAGCTATCAGTAATTTTTAGGGGTGGGACTATCAGCCCTTTAGGGGCAGGACAATCAATTGTTTAGGCCAGAGCTATTATTTAAGTAGGAGTGGGACTATCAATTATTTAGAGCAGGGGTCATCAATCTTGTTCCTGGAGGTCTGGTGCCCTGCAGGGTTTAGTTCCAACTTGCCTCAACATGCCTGCCTGGGTGTTTCAAGTATACCTAGTAAGACCTTGATTAGCTTGTTCAGGAGGGTTTGATTAGGGTTGGAGCTACAATCTGCAGGACACCGGACCTCCAGGAACAAGTTTGATGATCCCTGATTTAGGGCATGCTGTCAGTAATTTAGGGGCAGGACTATCAGCCATTTAGGGATGGGACTATCAGTGATTTAGAGCAGAGCTATGAGCCATTTAGAGGAGGACTATCAGTCATTCAGGGCGGGACTATCAGTCACTTACAGGCGGCATTATAAATCGTTTAGGACAAGACTATCAGTCATTCGGGATATCAGTAATTTAGGGGCAGGGCTATCAGCCATTTTTAAGCTGGGCTATCGTCATTTAATTTAATAATTTAGGTGTGGGACTATTAGTTATTTAGCAGCGGGCTATCATCAATTTAGGGGCGGGGCTATCAGTCATTTATGGGTGGGGCTATCATCTTTTAGGTGCGGGACTATTAGGTATTTAGCAGCGTGTTATCATAAATTTAGAGATGGGACTATCAGTCATTTATGGGTGGGGGTATCATCATTAAGGTGTGGGACTATCATCAATTTAGCTGCAGGGCTATCAGTTATTTGGGGGTGGGATAGCAGTAATTTAAGGCGGGGCTATCAGCACATTTTTAATTTGTCAGTCTTACTTAATTTTGTTAGCAACGCCCTTTTTCCAACAATCCAATCGGATCCCAAAGGATGAAAACATGCACCGGCCTTAATTTATTTTCATCCTTAGGAAGTTTTAATCAGATGTACGTCACAACATGGGAAAAGGGAGTTTCATGCAGCTTTAAATGTGTATAGTGCATTACGAAGATTTGTGGTCAAGGTGGGGATAATTAGTTTTTACATTCTTTTCAAGTTTAATAGTCTATAGGTGAAAACAAAATTATCAGCACAATATTTTTTATGTATTGTGTTGGTGTGGGCTTCTTCCAGCGGCTCAGATTTCCTTTACAGTCTCAACACATGCGCTATAGTTGATATACTTAGCTAAATTGGCTATAGTGTATGAGTGTGGGTGTGAATGAGTGTGTATGGGTGTTTCCAAGTACTGGGTTACAGCTGGAAGGACATCCGCTGCATAAAACATATGCCAGAATAGTTGGCGGTTCATTCCACTGTGGCGATTCCTGATAAATAAGGGACTAAGCTGAAGGAAAATGAATGAATAATTTTGTCTTGTGCAATGGAAAGATGTAATAGATGTTAAAGATTCTTACTGTTAAGCCTTTTCTGTCATAATATTTATACTGTTGTTGTCTCAGACCTTTAAATCTCTGTTGCTCTGCATAAAGTGTCTGCTCTGCATGCTGTTCATCAGTGAAAGTGATATTTGGCTTGCTGGTGTTTGAGTTTGCCAGGCAGGACATGTTTCTGGATCACTGTACTTGTTTATACTGGATTGATATTAAGGTCAGGGTTGAGTCTTGACCAATGTTTGGAACAGGCTGTCATTTCTCTGGGTTTTGTTAATGGCTGTGGTTTGGGGAAATGCTTACATCTATGTTCGTTTGGCAAGGATGCTGTTAACAAATGATGTTGATAAAACAATGGCCATTGTGTGTTTGGAGGAGTGTTGCCACTAGCTGTGTTTCCATTTAAAGCTGCGAATTAAACTCATGTGCAGAACTGTAATAATGCATAAAACAGTTGCGAATAAAGCAATAATCCCTTTGCCTTGATATGATTAATGAACAATTTGCATGATTTTGAAAATAAGTCAACTCAGTTACAATATATTTACTCACTTTTTAAAATAAGTTCAACTTGTCGATTAGTTAAAGCAATTTGATTTATTGAATTTGATTATTGAGATTATGTAACAAAGATTGAGATAAAAAGCTATTCATTACTTTAAAATAGTAAGTTTATAAAGTAATACACCACATGCTCTTCTTTCGCTAATTGTAGCATTGAAAATGAGTAAATATTGGATTATTATAATTTTTACAATGTTTACTAGAAGTTGTAGAAAAGGCTCAATTAATAATGGCAATGACACAAACACGAGGAGAACATGCAAACTCCACACAGAAATGCCAACTGACCTAGCCGAGGTTCGAACCAGCGACCTTCTTGCTGTGAGGCGACAGCACTACTTACTGCGCTATAATATTTATTATTTATTATATAATATTTTAAATATTCATTAACTATCATTTTTTGTAATGATGATGATGATAATAATTTTTTTTGCTAAAATTACAATTAAAGTTTGTAAAAAAAGTATTAACTATAATGTTTGTAATATAATAATAAAATTAATAATAATAATAATAGTAATAATAATAATAACAAAAATGATAATAATAATAATGATAATAATAATGATAAAAATAGTAATAATAATAAAATAATAATAATAATTAGCTAAAATAAAATGAATGTTAATTTAAAAATATTTATTTATTATTTTTGTAATAATAATAATAATAATAATAATAATAGTTTATTTAATTATTCATTAACTATTATTTTTAGTGATAATAATGACAGTAATGATAAAATGAGCTAAAATAAAATAAGTTAATTTATAAATACTCATAACTATATTTTTGTAATATAATAATAAATATTTTTAATAACAACAGTAAAATGGGCTTAAAATACAAGGTAATTTATAAATATTCATTAATTATGTTTTTAATATAATAATAATAATAATAATAATAATAATAATAATAATAATAATAAATATGATTAATAATAAAATTATCTCAAATTAAAATAAAAGTTAATTTAAAAAATCATTATCTTTTTTTAGTATAATAATAACAATAATAATAATAATAATAATAATAGCAATAATAAAATGAACTTAAAGTAAAATAAAAATTTAAATAAAACGTTTACTTAAGTTAAATTATTTAAGTTAAAGTAATTAATTTTTTTACTATTTTGTAATAATAATAATAACAATAATAATAATAACAATCTGAAATAAAAAGTAAATTTTAAAATATTCATTAACTATTATTTTACTATTAATAACAATAATATTAATAATAATAATAATAATAATAATAATAACAATAAAATCAGCTAAAATTTTAATAAAAGGTAATTTAAAATATAGTGTTGAAAATAATCTTCTCTAAATATTTATATAAATATTTGAATTTCATAAATGTGAAAAGCTGCTTTAGAGCTGCTTCAGTGTGATTCCTCTTTGCACTACACTGGTTATTAGACTGAGATTTTTCTAAAAAGTCTTGTCCTCTCTAAGCGATGTGAACCGTGTTTATGTTAGACACCTGTTTGTGATTGTTGGAACTCAATCCAGAATTTCTTCCCAGTTCGTTTTCCTTCCAATTCCTTAGTAGGACTTTGGGAAATCAGGCTTCAGGCGTGGAATGTTGGGCTTTCCATGAAAAAAAAAAAACTGCTCTCAGATCAGCAGTTTGTGAATGAATCCAGAGCTGTGTTCATTTACTGAAGCGAAATAAATTACATTATCATTTGGAGCGCCATAATAATTGCTGGTTTATCTGCCTGGTAAATAATGAATCACATAATGAGAGTGTGTCAGTCCTCTTTAAACTGTAGATTCACATTAACTTTTAATCATTTGGCATATCAAGAATTACTAGAAGTACAATTATATACAAGAGTTGAAGTCAAAAATGTTCATAAAATTTGTATTATTTTTCAAATAATTCCCAAGAGATGTTTAACAGAGCAAGGAACTCACTGTGGCTCATTGTGAATGGTTCCCAGTGATGGGTTGCAGCTGCATGGGCATCCGCTGCATAAAACATATGCTAGATAAGTTGTTGGTTCATTCCGCTGTGGCGTCCCCAGATTAATAAAGGAATTAAGCCTTAAGAAAATGAGTGAATGAATGAGGCTCATTGTGGATACATACCCCTGTCTACATTTCTGGAGACCACAAATTATGTACCCTGAGGTACATCTGGATCCATTTAATCTGTAAAATGAACGCTATGGGGTGGTATGACACCACCAAAGGCTTTTGTTCCTTTTTGCGCTACCAGCTGACAGCTTGCCTCCGTGTGGACAGCTTTTCCAGTGTTACCAGTTTTCCCAGTAGTTCGCTATGTACGTTGGTGGACTTTGAATGCATAGTTACATCGCAACGATGGGGTTTGAGTCTGGCGAAGAACAGTTCTAGAAACCAGGTAAAACAAAATCAAAAATAAATAAATAAATAAACAACAGGCTCAAAACGTGGTGAAATGAAGCAGCCGCGATGGCTTAATTTTCTAGATCGGTTGGGTTTAGGGAAGGGGGTGGTTGGGTCAGTTAATCAGTCAGTCCACTGCAAGCTGGCCTTGTCAGCTGAAGCAGCCTCTACTGGGTTTGCAAAAAAACAAAAACTGCGAGCGGACATACCTGCGGGTATGTATTTCAATGTCCCCAGAAATGCAAACTGGGTACGTATCTACGATGAGCCTGGGTTGTTAATTTACTTTAGTTTGGCTGGAATAAAAGCAGTATTTAATTACTCTTAAAAAGTGAAGGTCTATATGTATTTCAGTTTTTCAGTTACATTTTGCAGTTTCTTTTTCTGCTTACAAATTTTTTGGTACTTTTTTTCTGTACTTTTTTGTTACATTCATTTGATTACTTTTTTTGTTTACAATTTTTTGGTTCGTTTTTTTTTTGGGTACAATTTTAGAGTTACATTTTTTGGTTTCTTTTTCCGCTTAAGTCTTTTTTTAATTATTTTTTGTTTACGTTATTTTGGTAAATTTTTTTGTACTTTTTTGTTACATTCATTAGGTTACTTTTTATTTATATTTTTGGTTACATTTTTTAATTTACCTTTTTTTGGTTACTTTTTTAGTTACCTTTTTTTTTGGTAATTTTTTTGGTACTTTTTATATAACATTAGTTTGGTTACTTTTTTCGTTACTTTGTTAGTTACATTTTTTTGGTCACAATTTTTGGTTGAATCTTTTGGTTACATTTTTTTTGTTCCATTTTTTTTGGTAAAATTTTTTGGTTATGTTTTTTGTTACATTATTAGGGTTACATTTTTTTGATTACATTTTTTTGGTTAAATTTTTTTTAGTTACATTATTTGGGTAAAATTTTTTCGATTGCTTTTTTTATGTAAATTTAAAAAAAAAAAAATTTTTAAGGTTAATATTATTAGCCTACTGAAGAAATAAAATTTTTCTATTGGCTACAAAGCATTTAACTGTTGTCCAATGACTCAATATTGCCTTATTACCATAACTTGACAAGTTAACCTAATAAACCTAGCTAAGCCTTTAAATTGCACTTTAAGCTAAATACTAGTATCTTGAAAAGAAGTAAATATTATGTACCGTCATCATGGCAAAGACGAAATAAATTAATAATTAGAAATGAGTTAAGTTTAAAAAAAACAGCACTTGGCAAGTATTTGAAAAAATATAAAAATTCCAAAAGAGGACTAATAATTTGGTTTTCAACTATTTGTCAAAGTTAGTTTCACATGTCAGGACTCCTTTAAATTGACATGATCATTGTAATTCTCGCAAGTTTTTTTAATGACATCTTTTCTTTTAAATACTCAGAGCTGGTCCAGTCCTTCAGGAGTTTCTTCCACTGTTGTTTGTCCCGGGTGCGATGGATGAGCGGTGCGGGCTGCTGGAGCTCATGTGTTTGCTTTTGCTGGGCTGGACTCTGATTGTTCGCGGTCAGACAGAAACCGATCTCCACCTGCTGGATGAAGAGGAAGCAGAGGAGGTGAAAAATGCAGAGGAAAAGGTATCCTGTCCGGAGAAATGCAGCTGCAGCGGCGAGGGGGCGGTGGATTGTAATGGAGTGAGTCTCTCTGAATTCCCGCAGGATTTATCTGAACAGACCCGGCAGCTCTCACTACAGGTGAGGAGAGAAAAAATAAGTGGATACAATTGTAATGATGATTAATACACACTCTCTTTTCTCTTTCAACACCTAATCATGCGAATATATCATCATAATAATATCAAGAAATTGGACTAGTAAACTTAGTAATTTAGACTTATCATAGTATCACAGGCTCATTGGGAAAATGTGCCCAGGGGTACATTTTGGAGAACCCAGAAATATGTGCTCATGGGTACATTTGGCTGCATTTTGTGTGTAAAATAAACGCTATTACGCCCTTTTTTTACAAGATATAAAGTAAGCTTCTGATGTCCTCAGAGTGTGTGTGAAGTTTTTAGCTTAAAATATCACACAAATAAAGTTTTATGACTCTTTAAAACTGACACTTTTTATGCTTTGATCCTAAAGACTCCTACACACCGGGATGTTTTTCGTTTGTGTTTAACGTCAGCATTTTACGAGACGTTTTTCAGTGTTCAAACCCAAGGGCTTTTCACTGGCGTCAAGCAGAAGAGTATGCTAAATCAGTCTTTTGACGTTAGATGGCGCTGCAAAGGCCCGTGCAGAGACCGTCCAAAGGGCATGTGCAGGATACATTTTTTGAAGAGTGCGGGGGGGGTGTTTTTGTTGTTGTTGTCTTGCGCGTACTGAAGAGTGGTTTTGTCGCGTGCGTTCTGATCAGCTGTGTTGTCGCGTGCGTACTGTAAAGCGGTGGTAGGGGGGTGGGTTGAGTGCGGGTACTCAAAAGTGGTGTTGTCGCGCGCCTACTGATGGGCGGGACGGAGGGTGTGTCGCGTCGCGGGGGCACTTTTGATCATTTTGGAAGGGCACTTTCTATCCAAGACTAAAAAGGGCATGTGCACTGCACAGGTTGAGCCCTATGTGTGCATGTACCTGCCGCTGCACAGCTATAAACTTCTGACATGCGCTTATAACACAGAAGAAGAGGAGTAGAGAACGTTCACACATTTGTTTATAAAGTTACTGGTGACTCAAACAAGCATGGTTGATTCAAGCAGCAGCTCCAGCTCTAGCGATGAAGAAATTATTATTGTTCACAGAGCAATAAGCAGCTCCACGTTCATATCGCCTCTGGCCATCTTCTTCAATGTATTTCGCAATGACAGTTTTGCGCTTAAGCGCCTTCAAGTGCTGTTTACGGTAACTTCAGCAGCTCCATGCATGTGAACAAAAGTGCCAATCTGATTGGTGAAGAAGGTTTTGACGGCGTGCGTCAAAACAAAAAAACGAGCATGCAGCGTTTTTTTTTTTGAATGACACTTTTGCGGCTGGCGTTATGCGCGTTGGTGTGCACGCCCTTTATTAAGTTACGAGGTGTTAAATGTCGACGGAAAACGCGCGCAAAAAATGTCTTGGTGTGCATGGGCCTTAATTGTGCCATTTTGGGGACTGTCGCATTAAATTCAAATGAGATTGTGCTCTTTTTAAAAGAGTGCAGAGCTACAATGCCTGTGTGTCAGCATAGTGGCAGAATCAAAAACTAGACTGACGTCCTATGCTAATAAGAAAGAAATGATCACTGATGGGCGGGGCTTCCCCATTCTGATAACACATGCAAAGGGAGAATGTCAATCAGTGTTTCTGCAGACTGTTTTTATAAAGTGTGATTATAAAAAGTTTAATTAATAATTTTGTTTTACCTTTAAAAGCCACACAACCACACAACAGTGTTTAAACCATTTATAAAAGTGATTTTTGCTTAATAGGTCCCCTTTAAGTTGAATACTAGTATCTTAGTATCACAAATCAGATATTAAGGTATTGTCATCATAGCAAAGTGGTGAGGGGGCGGTGGATTGTAATGGAGTGAGTCTCTGAATTCCCGCAGGATTTATCTGAACAGACGTGACAGCTCTCACTGCAGGTGCGTGGGTTTGTTTGCAGATTCCTCAGAAGCACATTTTCCTCATCATAACTTGGCAGAGTATATTTTCCAAGCATTTAAAAATGTTTAAGGTGTAGGAGGTCTGGTGTTCCCCTTATTTTAGAAGGGCCATTATGATCATGGTCATGCAACGGACCCCTTTATAACATGCAAAAGACATTTATAGTGATTGAAGAGATCCTATTGTATCCTATTGTTTAACTAGGCTAACAATGCTGACTTCAGCTGTAAATAAAAATATACAGCTGAAGCCAGAATTATTAGCCCCCTTTTGAATTGTTTTTCTTTTTACAATTTTTCCTAATCAATGTTTAACAGAGCAAGGACATTTTCACATTATGTCTGATAATATTTTTTCTTCTGGATAAAGTCTTATTTGCTTTATTTCAACTTGAATAAAAGCAGTTTTTAATTGATTAAACCCCATTTTTAAGGTCAAAATTATTAGCCCCTTTAAGCTATTTTTATTTCCAATAGTCTACAGAACAAACCATCATTGTACAATAACTTATTACTAATTATTATTAATATTACTAATTACTCTAACCTGCCTAGTTAACCTAATTAACCTAGTTAAGCCTTTAAATGTCACTAAGCTGAATAGAAGTGTCTTGAAGAATATCTAGTCTAATATTATTTACTGTCATCATGACAAAGATAAAATAAATCAGTTATTAGAAATGAGTTATTTAAACTATTATGTTTAGAAATGTGCTGAAAAAAAAATCTGCTCTCTGTTAAACAGAAATTGGGGAAAATAAAAAAACAAGGGGGCGAATAATTCAGGGGGACTAATAATTCTGACTTCAACTGTAAATGTAGAATTTTTAAAAAATTTTTAAAGTTTCATGTTTTTTTTCCTAGTGAGTTCATTTACTTATTTTTGTTTTGCTTATTTTATCATACTTTTTCCCCCAAATGTTTGCACAATGTTATCATAGTTGTATTTTTTATTTTTATCAAATTTTGTATTGCATTTTAAATTCAACATATATATTTTTTCTATAAATTATATTCTAATTATTATAATTAATAGGGTATTTTAATTCAGTTATTCATTCATTCATTCATTCATTTTCCTTCAACTTATTCCCTTTATTCATCAGGGGTCGCCACAGCGGAATGAACCGCCAACTTGTCCAGCATATGTTTTACACAGCTGATACCTTTCCAACTGCAACCCAGTACTGGGAAACACCCATACACACTCACATTCACACACACTCATTCACTACGGCCAATTTAGTTTATCCAATTCACCTATAGCGCATGTGTTTGGACTGTGGGGGAAACCCATGCCAACACAGAGAGAGAACATGCAAACTCCACACAGAAACGCAAACTAACCCAGCGACCGTTTTGCTGTGAGGCCACAGTGCTAACTACTAAGCCACCATGTCGCCCTAATTACGTTACGTGTATAAAACCAGTAAAAATGGACAATATATATATTGGACTGTATATATATATATGAATTATTAGCCTACCTGTTTATTTTTTTCTCCAATTTCTGTTTAATAAAGAGAAGATTTTTTCAACACATTTCTAAACATAATAGTTTTAAAAACCTCTCTCTATTAACTGATTTCTTTTGTCTTTGCCATGATGACAGTAAATCATATTTGACTAGATATTTTTCAAGACACTTCTATACAGCTTAAAGTGACATTTAAAGGCTTAACTAGGTTAATTAGGGTAACTAGGCAGGTTAGGGTAATTAGGAAAGTTATTGTACAATGATGGTTTGTTCCGTAGACTATTGAAAAATAATATAGCTTAAAGGGGCTAATAATTTTGACCTTAAAATGGGTTTTAAAAAATTCATAACTGCTTTTATTCTAGCCGAAATAAAACAAAATAAGACAAAATATTATCAGATATGCTGTGAAAATTTCCTTGCTCTGTTAAACATCATTTGGGAAATATTGGAAAAAGAAAACAAGTTCAAAGGGGGCTAATAATTCTGACTTCAACTGCATATATATATATATATATATATATATATATATATATATATATATATATACACACACACACATACAGTTGTTTATAATGTATATATATATATATATATATATATATATATATATATATAAATACAGTTGAAGTCTTATTATATATATAGCTCACAAAGGTTGCATTTATTTTATAAAAAATATAATGAAACAGTAATATTGTTAAATGTAATTACAACCTAAACATTCCTTAAAATACTTGAACATATTTTTATATATAATTCATTCCTGCAATTCGAAGTTGAATTTTAAGCATCATTCCTCCAGTCTTCATTGTTACATGATCATTTAAGCATAATATGCGCATTACATGAAAATATTTTAGCAATACATAACCAAACAAAATAGGCTACACAGTGGCTCAGTGGTTAGCACAGTGGCCTCACTGCAAGAAGTTCACTGCTTCGAGGCTCGGCTGGGCCAGTAGGCGTTTCTGGAGTTTTGCATGTTCTCATGTTGCCGTTGGTTTCCTCCAGGTGCCCCGGTTCCCCCACAGTCCAAAGAAATGCGCTATAGAGGAATTGAATGAACTGGCTGTAGTGTACTATATGAGAGTGTTTGTGAATGTGAGAGTGTGTGGGTGTTTCCCAGTACTGGGTTGCAGCTGGAAAGGAATCCACTGCATGAAGCATATGCTGGAATAGTTGTCGGTTTGTCGGCTGTAGCGACCCCTAACTAATTAACCAAAAAAGTTCACCCTCATGTCATTTCAAACCTGAATGTCTTTCTTTGTTTTATGGAATACAAATGAAGAATGCAGAATGTCCAGATTAATGTTATTGATATTTATTTATTTAGGCTTTCAAACTTCAAAAATGACAATAAAATCCACTGTGATAGTTCACATGATTGGTGCATCACATTGTAATCCTTCTCATGGCATTTGAAAGCTTTTTGTTACAAACAGAAGAGCAGATTATTCATGAAAAGAAATAAAAATGTCAGAAGATTTCTGTTATTAAATTAAAAAGCACAAGTGGTGTGAACTTGTATCATGCTTTTTTTTTTGTCATTTTGAAGTTCATTCATAGGCTCACTGTAAAAAATGCTGGGTTCCACACAATTCTTCATGTCGTGCCTACACAAATTGATTAAATAACTCAATTATTTTTACATATTTAAGTGGATTGAACATTAAACAATTAAGTTGACCCCAAAAAACTCAAGAATTGTGTTGATTCATACGGAGACCCGGAAGGAACGTGATGGTTGGGGGAAAAAAAAATGTGTAGGAAAAAAAAATTGGTGGAAGAAAAAAAAACAGTGAAAGGAAAACATATTTTTATTATTATTTTTTTTTGCGTTCCCTCGCAAAGATGTTTTGCGTTATCTTGCAAAACTGTTTCTCCACAAACACTTCCTGTTCTTATTCATGTAAACCCTCCCGTTTTTGCCAAAATTCTCCTGTATTTTACCCATCTATCCCACTATCATCCCATCATTAAGTATTTTTTACCATATTTCTGATATATTTTAATCTTGAAAGCACACTTAAATTAATATTAAAATGTCTGCATTCACTTTCTTTACATTAAAGCTGTGCATCGACCGTCGCCTTTCATATGCTACCTCTAAACCTGTGAATGCTGTCAGTGCTTTATTGTACTGAGCGCGTCTGTCAGTCAGCGCTTATACATCCCAGGGCCGGCGCGTCCATAGAGGCGACCTAGGCGGCTGCTTAGGGCGGCAGTATGGGGTGGCGTCGGCGACACCTCCCTACCACCCGCGTCCTCAGATATGTCCGCGACACCTCCCTTACCACCGCGTTCTCAGTTATGTCCGCGACACCTCCCTTACCACCCGCGTCCTCAGTTATGTCCGCGACACCTCCCTTACCACCCGCGTCCTCAGATATGTCCGCGACACCTCCCTTACCACCCGCGTCCTCAGATATGTCCGCGACACCTCCCTTACCACCGCGTTCTCAGTTATGTCCGCGACACCTCCCTTACCACCCGCGTCCTCAGTTATGTCCGCGACACCTCCCTTACCACCCGCGTCCTCAGATATGTCCGCGACACCTCCCTTACCACCGCGTTCTCAGTTATGTCCGCGACACCTCCCTTACCACCCGCGTCCTCAGTTATGTCCGCGACACCTCCCTTACCACCCGCGTCCTCAGATATGTCCGCGACACCTCCCTTACCACCGCGTTCTCAGTTATGTCCGCGACACCTCCCTTACCACCCGCGTCCTCAGTTATGTCCGCGACACCTCCCTTACCACCCGCGTCCTCAGATATGTCCGCGACACCTCCCTTACCACCCGCGTCCTCAGTTATGTTCGCGACACCTCCCTTACCACCCGCGTCCTCAGATATGTCTGCGACACCTCCCTTACCACCCGCGTCCTCAGATATATTCGCGCATAGACGACAGTATAGAGAGGGTGGCGTCCGCGACACCTCCCTTACCACCCGCGTCCTCAGTTATGTCCGCGACACCTCCCTTATCGCCCGCGTCCTCAGTTATCTCTGCGACACCTCCCTTACCACCCGCGTCCTCAGTTATGTCCGCGACACCTCCCTTACCACCCGCGTCCTCAGTTATGTCCGCGACACCTCCCTTACCACCCGCGTCCTCAGTTATGTCCGCGACACCTCCCTTAACACCCGGGTCCTCAGTTATGTCCGCGACACCTCCCTTACTGCCCGCGTCCTCAGTTATGTCCGCGATACCTCCCTAACCACCCAAGTCCGCAGATATGTCTGCGACACCTCCCTTACCACCCGCGTCCTCAGATATATTTGCGCATAGACGACAGTATAGAGAGGGTGGCGTCCGCGACACCTCCCTTACCACCCGCGTCCTCAGATATATTTGCGCATAGACGACAGTATAGAGAGGGTGGCGTCCGCGACACCTCCCTTACCATCCGCGTCCTCAGTTATGTCTGCGACACCTCCCTTACCACCCGCGTCCTCAGATATGTCTGCGACACCTCCCTTACCACCCGCGTCCTCAGATATATTTGCGCATAGACGACAGTATAGAGAGGGTGGCGTCCGCGACACCTCCCTTACCACCCGCGTCCTCAGTTATGTCTGCGACACCTCCCTTACCACCCACGTCATCAGTTATGTCCGCGACACCTCCCTTACCACCCGCGTCCTCAGATATATTCGCGCATAGATGACAGAATAGAGAGGGCGGCATCAGCGACACCTCCATTAGCACCCGCGTCCTCTGTTATATCCGCGCATAGGGCGGCAGAATTGAGGTCTGCGACACCTGCGCATCCTCAGTTATATCCGCGCATAGGGCGGCAAAACAAAGAGTGCAGTGTCCGCGACACCTCCCTCCCTCCCTCCCTCAGCACCCGTGCGTCCTCCGCGTCCTCCCGTTATATCGGCGCATAGTGCGCCGGAAAAGAGGTCCGCGACACCTCATTTCATTTTCCGGTCACTTTCGTTTTCACATTGGGGTTGAGGGCGACGTGATCGTCCTCTGCCTAGAGCAGCAGTTCAGGTTGCTCCGGCCCTGATACATCCATTCAATGGTTCAGAGGTTGCATATGAAAGGTGAAGATCGGCGCACAGCTTTAATGTAAAGAAAGTGGTATAGAAAGGTAAAACATGGGAGAATTTTGGCAAAAACGGGAGGGTTTACGCGAGTGAAGTGAACAAGAAGTGTTTGTGGAAAAACATCTATGCGAGGGAACTTAAAACTTTGCGAGAGAATGCAAAAACGTAGAAATATATGTTTTCCTCCCACCCTTTTTTTTCTTTCACCCATTTTTTTCTCTTCCCATTATTTTTTTTTCACCCAGCCATTTTTTTTCTCCTCCACTACGTCATTTCCGGGTCTCTGTAGATTCAGCTCCTTATAAATAAGTAGTTTGAACAAGCAGGGGGGTAAAAAATCCTTTTTTGAGTGCTCTTATCATTGTGTAGAAAACAGCAGCTGGGACGTTCTGCTAAACATCTCCATTTGTGTTTCACAGAAGAAAGAAAGAAAGATTGGAACAGCATGAGGGTGAGTAAACTGTGACAGATTTAGTCTATTTATATGCTGTAAATCCCTTTAAATATCATCATGTTGTTGTTTTTTTCTGCGATGTCCCAGAATAACCAGATCAGCGAGGTCACGCTGGAACATCTGTCCCGTCTTCAGCAGTTGGAGACCCTCAATCTACAGAACAACCGGCTCACAACACAAGGTACAACTGATTGGGGGTCAGTGGAGGACGACGGCTGAAAAAAAAAGTGTAATGTGTTACAGAGGGAGAGATGGAAAGGAAAAGCTGCTGTGTTTGGATTCGTCTATATCCTGCATGTGTGGCCAACATGGCTGCTTCAATAGAGCAGCAGAAGCAGTTGATTAGTCTTGTTTGAAGAAATCTTTTGGCTATAAAAAGAAAATGCAGTAACATTTTAAAATGATGGTCCATTATTTAATGTATTTACTAACATGAGCTAACAATTGGTAATACATTTATTACGGTATTTATTCATGTTTGCTAATGTTCATTCATTAATTTTCCTTCGGCTTAGTCCCTTATTGATTAGGGGTGAACCGTCAGCTATTCCAGCATTTGTTTTACATAGATGAATCCCTTCCGGCTGCAACCCAGTACTGGAAAACCCCAATACACACTTTTTCACACTCATACACTATGCTTCAATAGTTTATTCATTTCCCCTATAGCACATTTGTTTGGACTGTGGGGGAAACCGCTGCACCTGGAGGAAACCCACACCAACATGTGGAGAACATGCAAACTTCACACAGAAATGCCAACTGACCAAGCCAAGGCTTGAACTAGCGACTTTCTGAGTGACTATGGTGGCCATTTTGAAGTCGGATATCTGGGATCCAACTTTTGTTTTTTCAATCTTAAGAGGGTCATGTGACACATCAAATTTATTGTAAATTTCACAAGAAAAACAGTGGTGTGCTTGGTTTTAATGTAACTTTATTCTTTCATGATGTATTTAAAGTTTCTGACCACTTATAAAATGTGTTCAATGTGCTGCCCGTTGTGTTGGATTGTCAATGCAACCCTCTTCTCCCACTCTTCACACGCTAATAGCAACACCGCATGAGAAATGCCAGCACAGGCTTCCAGTATCTGTAGTTTCAGGTGCTGCACATCTTGTATCTTCACACCATAGACAGCAAAGATAGTGGGGCCATTCTTCGTCAATGGAAACCTCAAGGCCACTGGATGTTTGACATTGCTACATGATGATGTGTTTCCCTCTTTATGCACTGAATCTGGCACGTTCCCTGAGTTTATTCCAGCAAGATGGTTCACCACCACATTATGGGTGTCAGGTAGGAGCATTCCTAGATGAACAGTTTCCTGAAAAGTGGATTGGTCATCGTGGGCCAGTTAAATGGCCCCCAAGGTCTCCCGATCTGACCCCCTTAGACCTTTTATCTTTGAGGTCATCTGAAGGAAATAGTCTATGGTGTGAAGATACAAGATGTGCAGCACCTGAAACTACAGATACTGGAAGCCTGTGCTGGCATTTCTCCTGCGGTGTTGCTATCAGTGTGTGAAGAGCGGGAGAAGAGGGTTGCATTGACAATCCAACACAATGGGGAGGATATTGAACGCATTTCATAAGTGGTCAGAAACTTGTAAATAACTCATGAAAGAATAAAGCTACAATAAAACCAAGCACATCATTGTTTTTCTCTTGAAATTGCCAATAAGTTTGATGTGTCACATGACCCTCTTCCTATTAAAAAAACAAAAGTTGGATCCGAGATGGCCAACTTCAAAATGGCCCACATGGTCACCCCACATCTTGAAAAGATTTCCCACTCACATATACTAATGTGCCACAAACAGGACGTTAATATCACCAACCATTCCCATTTTATTAAGGCGTGTCCATATAAATGGCCCACACTGTATATCTTTCATCATGGTTTTGCGTATGTTTCGCCCATAAAATAGAAAATTTAAATTTGAATAAAATAAATTGATAAAATAAAACAAAATAAATATTCTACCTTAGCAATCTGTACACTAAAGGGACTGAGCCGAAAAGAAAATGACTGAGTGAATGAATCCATTCAGCAATAAAAAGCTTATTTGTTTATTCAGCTTAATTTTTGTTTATATAGATTATGTTTAATCCTCGATTTTTAAAAATGGACACTTATGACTTCAATTAATAAATTCATATAATAAATAAATAAATATGTTTTGAAAAATTGTAATTATTCAAAATATATATCACCGATACATGTAGTTGTGCTATATTTTTTTGCTCCATGTATGAATCTTATTAGTAATTCTCGTAATTGGGCATGACATTAATGTGTGTGTGCAGCAAGTAAAGCAGTAACGTGTGCTCATGTGTGTTTGTGTGCAGGCCTTGAGGACGAAGGGTTTGATATTCTGGAAAGGCTGAGCTATTTATACCTGGCCAATAATAAGGTGAGTCATTGCTGTTTATTCTTATTGACTTTCTTGAATGCAGATCACAGGCTCTGATGAAAATGTTCTAGATTTATGTTAATTTAATGGAGTGATATACTACATTCTGCCTCTCTGACGCACATAGGTAATGTCATGAACGGTTTGTCACTTTGCTTTGTTTCCAAGACTCTTTTATTACAACTTTTGATTTTTTGTACTGTGTCTTTATTTCTTTATGCAAATGATCTCTGGTATAATTAGCCTCATATTACCAGATTAAAACATTCTGGCACTTTTTTTGTGTTGGGAAATTTTTTAAAAAGAAAAAAAAAAAGCGGGGGCTAATAAATCTGACTTCAACTGTGTGTGTGTGTGTGTGTATATATGTATATGTATGTATGTATGTAAATATATATATATATATATATATATATATATATATATATATATATACAGTTGAAGTCAGAATTATTAGCCTTCTGTTTATTTTCCCCCCCAATTTCTCTTTAACAGTGAGCAGATTTTTTTCAACACATTTCTAAACATAATAATTTTAATAACTCATTTCTGATAACTGATTTATATTATCTTTGCCATGAAGACAGTAAACAATATTGTATTTTTCAAGACACTTCTATACAGCTTAAAGTGACATTTAAAGGCTTAACTAGGTTATTTAGGTTAACTAGGCAGGTTAGGGTAATTAGGCAAGTTTTTGTATAATGATGGTTTGTTCTGTAGACTATCGAAAAAAATAGCTTAAGGGGCTAATAATTTTGTCCTTAAAATGGAGTTTAAAAAATTAATAGCTGCTTTTATTCTAGCCGAAAAAAGCTAAACAAATAAGACTTTCTCCAGAAGAAAAAATATTATCAGACATATTGTGAAAATTTCCTTGCTCTGTTAAACATAATTTGGGAAATATTTAAAAAAAGAAAAAAGGGGGGCTGATAATTTATATATATATATATATATATATATATATATATATATATATATATATATATATATATATATATATATATTCATTATTAAAAAAATTCAGACTGTTTTCTCTAAATCTGAATTCTACAAACTTTTTTTCTAATAAAAGTGACCATTCAGATCACAAAATTTAGATTTTTCAATTAATTTATATCTCTCAATTTTTTGTGTGTTTCTCAATTAAATTAAATTAAATTAAATTAAATTAAATTAAATTAAATTAAATTAAATTAAATTAAATTAAATTAAATTAAATTAAATTAAATTAAATTAAATTAAATTATACATGTTACTTATTAAATGTATTTTTAAAATGTTATAAATTAAATAAAGGTTAACTTTCTATTTTACTACTCAGACATTTTTAACAAACATTTTTGAGAGACCTTATTGAATGTAAATATAGTACAAGTGACCATTCAGATCTTAGAATTAAGATTTTTCAATAAATTCATTTTTTGTGCATGGGTTTTTAATCAATTAAATTAATTTAGTTGTTTTATTTAATACATTGAATGCATTATTTTATTGAATATATTTAAATATGTAATGAATTTAATTAAAATATATAAATGAAGGTTAATAAAGGTTATTGCAACTTTCTATCTTACAATTCAGACATTTTTGTGACCTTATTAAATGTAAATAGTAAAATTGACCTTTCAGATCTCACAATTAAGATTTTTTCAATGAATATCTATTTGTCATTTTTTGCAAAAATATTTATTTGATGCATTTAAAACATTTTAGTTATTTAATATATGTAATATATTATTTGTGAATTAAATTATGGTTAATAAAGATTATTGCAACTTTCTATCTCACAATTCAGACATATAAAAATATATATATCACATGTTAATTGTAAAAGTGAGCATTCAGATTTTACAAGATATTTTAATTAATTTACATCTCAATTTTTTAAAATGATTTTTTCATAAATCAAATCATTTGTTTTATTTAAATATTTTATATATTTTATATATTTTGTAAAGTTTATTTATGAACTAATTTCAAGAGGAGCACATGCTTATGATTGATCAAGGCTTGTCCCGTATTAACTAATGCATGATTTCCAATCAGATGATTCCTAACTCATAAATAACTATAGAATCCCACCTTTCCACCCCTACTCCTCCACCTTTCTCTTTATAGGGGTTCAAACAGGCTAGTTGTCATTTCTGTGTTTACATGTTCTCCCTGTGTTCGCGTGGGTTTCCTCTGGGTTCTCTGGTTTCCTCCCACAGTCCAAAAACGTGTCATAACTGAATTGATCAATCTAAATTAGTACTATAGTTGCGCTCATTACCAGCAGTAAATCTCTATTTCTAATCTGTCATCAGCTCTAAATAAGGGGAGAGATCTCAAGACCTACCTGCGCTCAAACTCCCCTCTCGCCCTGCAAATGGAAGGGAGCTCTAAGCTCGAGGATCAGCATAACAAGCACACTTTATAATCAATCATCAGCTAATTGTGAACTCTTGAAAAATGTATTGTTTTAATATATTTCAATAAAATATATATTATTTAAATATCTTAAAGATTTAGATATATAAATTAAGGATAATAAATGTTATTGCAACTTTCTATCTCACATATCTCTATCTCTAACTGTTTTTGAACATTTCTTGACATGTATTACTTTATTTATGTATCACATCTGGCACTTTTTGTTTCTTGCATTAAGAGTAAAATATTAAGTATAATCTAATTTTTATATCTCAACTTTTTCCTCAGACCTGTGAATATACATCTCACAACACTTTTTTGTGTGTGTTTTATCAGTTCTAGTACATTGTCAGAACATAATGTGCATAATGTACATTTTCTATTGCAACTGTTGATTTGAATCTCACTAATAGATCTTTTCTTAGAATTACTTTTATAAGTTTATATCTTACAGTTCTGCACAGATATAAACCCATAATTGAAAAAGTAAACTTCGTATAAACTTCACATTGTTCAGAAAAAAAAAAAAAATGTTTGAATTTTCTTTTTATTTCTTATAAAAAAACAACAAGCCTCCTTGCTTCATGGCAATAATATCTGTTAATTAAGTTTCTGTATTTAGTGATTTATAAGTGTTTATTAACAGTTTTGAATTGCATTATGGGATGATGATCTCTGCTCTGTCAACATTTAATGTTGAAAATTCAACTCTACAGTTTAAGAGAGTGACTTTTATTGACATTGTAGTTGTTTGAAATAATTATATAATGTATAATATATTAATGTATAGAGAAATAAGGCTGTGAAACAACTGAATATCTGCTGGGAGTTTATTACAAGGCTTCTGTAGCGTTATATACAACACCAAACCAGTCAATAAAGCCCTTTAAACTATTAAAAATGTAAATAAAATCACTTTATCAAACTTTTAAAGGTTATAAGTTGTTGTAAGACTGATCAAAATCCAACCCGGGCTCATTGTGGAAACGTAGCCCTGCGGACGTTTCTGCGGACCGCGATTTACGTTCCGGGAGGTACGTATTCGAGCGTTTTTTTGTTTTCGCGGATACGCGAGAGGCCGCTGTGCGCGCTTTCGCGTCTCGTTCGCGCCCGCGCCGTTCTTGCGCGAAAAGCCGCCGGATCGAAAAAAAAAAAAAAAAAAAGCAAAAGCCCTCGTCTTCGATTTCGACTGCGTTTTCGGATCCCGCCGCGTTCTCGCCCTTATTTTTCGAATTTCGTTTTTCGTCTCACCTGATTTCCAGAACCTGCCGTTCCCCGGACTCGACCCCTGTCGTCGTCCACCGCGGCCGGCTCCGGCTCCTCCTCCTCCTCGTCCGGGGCCTCCGCTCCGCCGACGCAACGCTGTGAGCTAGGCAGACAAACTGATTGCGTCGGGAAAGCCCTCCACTCGGAGGCGAGCCGTCGGCCGGCGAGCGCGAAGAGGAGGGGCGGAGCGGCGCCACACCACCCCGCGGCGTTCGCTCGAAAAAACCCAAACGCGGCCTTTACATACCTCCGGCCACGTAAATCGCGGTCTCCAGAAACGTCCGCGGGGCTACGTTTCCAGAATAAGCTTGGGTTGTCAAAATCCCATAAGGCATTTCAAAAGCATAAATAAACAGGGAAAAATAAAAACATGGATCACAAAATACAGAAATCTGCTAATTTATGTATATTTTTATGGTGTATAGTTTTCTGGGTAAGTTTGGTCTTTGAGAATATTATTATAATTTAATTATTTATTTTTTTTGTAAAATGACACATTTGATTACAGGGCTCGAAATTGACCTTTTTGCATGGTAGCACCGGTGCTCCTAACTTTAAAAATTTAGACGCGTCTTCCATTGTTATATGAATTTGATAAGAAGTGTGCAACATTTTCACTCTAGAAACATGTTTTATGCAGGAATGTAACTGATATGCTGCAACGGCTCCTTTAAATATGAGATTAAGGTAGCAAGTTTTGACGCTTTCGCCGCCAGTGCTGAAGGCAGACAGTGTTGTCACCAGGGCGGCCAGAGCGACCTTGGACGCTCTCGCCGCTTTCACTGTGAACGTACAGTTAAACTTCAGCTGTTCACATTTCTCGCAGTCACCGAAGCTTCCTGTGATCTTAACTAGGTGCAGCTGTTGCCTGCGCGTTGCCTCATGTGCGTGTCTCTGCATTGGAAATAAGATAACGAACAGGTGAAGTTTTTTTTCCCTCTCCGCTGTCGCCACTGCCTCGCATGGTTCAGGATTGGTAGAGCTACGCATCGATGAATTGGCTCTTCAGTGTTTGAACTCTCAGTAATGATTAAATCACACTGAACTGAGCTAAACTGAACTGAACTTAAACATTAAAAACTGAACTACACTGTTCCAGTTACTGAACCACACTGTTCCAGTTACTATGACCATTTATGTGAAGCTGCTTTGACACAATCTACATTGTAAAAGCGCTATACAAATAAAGCTGAATTGAATTGAATTGAATTGAATTGAATTGAACTTGCCTGCAGGTCGCACACCAGAAGCTTCTTCGCGCCAAGCAGCGCCATGCAATTTAGAATTCTAAACATAGGTTTCTATCAGGGTACACACAA